TTTGGCCTGGAAGCATTCGGGGGGACCCTAAACCCTAAACCGATGCCACAGCTTCGCGGTGCAAACCCAAGAGCAAGCCACACAGGGGCCTTCTTACTTGGATTTGAAGTCGATTCTCGTATCATTTCTTGTAACACCAAGGAAGATCGCTAATGATACTAATAATACTAATAATACTAAGAATACTAATATTGCTAATACCTTAAATAATACTAATATTGCTAATATTTTTACGATTAGTAATTTAGAACCTCCTATAGACCCTCAATGACTGCATCCTATGCCTTCCTCAGCTATCGAAACCTACTTCTAGGGTCTTACTTTCCCGAAGGGTCCATGTCATGAGTATGAAAGCGTGCAGCCTCTGAATGTTGGGGCCTTAGTAGAGTATATCCTAGTATAGGTAAGTATGAAGGCCTCTATATTGCCCCAAGGGTCCAAAGGACCCAATAACTGGTACTCGGTTTTAGGATAGTAGTTATGTAGGTTAAGATTTTGGAGAGTATATGATTATTAGGTACTTGGACCCTTGGGGTTACTTTATTAACCACTAAGATATGAAGTACAGTGGCTCGACAACAAAGTAGAATGAAAGGTATATTCGGGCAGCCATCCACGCCAGAACTGCTTAAACGCTCATAGAACCTCAATTTACGAAACTAGCAATTTAGTAATTCCCTGGAGTTACATTCAAATAAGAATTTCAATTGATTCCGAAGAACCCTGAGAAGACTGTGAACCTGCCTTGTCAGACGTATCCATGTCATCCATGGAAGCATCCGCATGATCGAAGCTGTCATCCTCAAACGTGTCAAAAGTGTCTTCATCCTCCTTTGGCTCGGCTGCCTCCTTGGTTGTCAAGCTCTTACGAAGGTAAGAGGGCTAATAATTTAGAATGGGGTTTGGGGGCCCAATCTACTATGTGTAACATAATAAGAAACCCCAAAACAGTATTGGTAGTCATTTAAGCCCCTATGTTAATCATCTCCTGCCAGTCGTGCAACAATGCCACACGTCCGAACAGTAAGCGTCATGATAGTACGGCTTGCTTCCGCATATACAAACAAACACACACACACACACACACACCAACGTCCATACACATCCATATCCACTGCATAAGCAGATTAACATATGTACATACACTTACACAATCACATAAACAGATACGAAAAACATGCGTGCGTGTATAGATGTATATGACGAGAGTGCTCTACAGCTGCATTGATTTCTGCTTCAATCACTGCGGCTGGTTTTGCTATTCCAGCTGATATCGCAACTCTGGTGAATATCGTGGGTGGTTTGGGATTGATATGTTGCACTCGTTCAAGCTTGCAGCTGTAACTGAAACGAGCGGATACCTGGACGTAGAGGGAAGGCTCTTCTTACAAACAGGCCCACATGTTAAGACGCGCCAGGCACAGTCACCGGGTCACCTTGAAGCCATGCGTGTCTCATACGGATGGGAGGGGTCTTTTCTATCAGCAGAACAGCTGTGCCCGAGCGGCCTGAACCCAACACCCTCAACATCTGAAGGAAACCCCTCTGAGTTTAGAAGTATGGGCCCCTAAGACGGACCCCTAGGCCTTTTTGAGGGAGCTCTGGGGACCCTTATGAGACAATATAGGGTATATAGTATGTATTTAGTGATCCCAAGGTTAACGGCCCATACTAGGGGCCGGGGCCCATGGTTTCAACCCTTGAGCCCCGCGCCCAGCGACGGCACTAACAGTTTCTCCAAACACAGGGGTAGTTGTCAAAATTAGGGTCCCTCTTTGGGTCCCTAGTATAATACGGCACCCATTATTCAGGGTACCCAAAAGAGGACCCTAATTTTGACAACCACCCACATGCTCCATGCCCCGAAGCCCATCAAGCCCTGAAATCCTACGATCTTCAACCCTACAGTTTCACACCAGCCACATACAACATAGACATGTAAATATGAGTATAAGTATAAGTAAACCTGTGTATATGTATATATACGTACATTTAGATACGTACATTTACATGCGTACAGTTGCACACGTACATTTACATACATACAGTTACATACATGCGTTTACATACATGCATACATACCTAGAGGCTCCAAATATAGTACCATTATGGAATTAGGTCCCAAAAGACCATCCATATCATGGCTTTGGGGACCTAATTCCATAATGGTACTATATATGGAGCCTCTGGGAGACATAGATGCATACATACAGGTCCCCGTCGCAGGCTTCTCGTCGGCCTTGCTGGGTGCCGTCTTCGGGCGGGGCACCAGCAGCTTTATCCTCGAGCGGCCAAGCAGGGCATTGGGGCGTATGGGGTTTAAGGCTTTACCCCATCCCTCCAGGGACCTTATTATGGGGTCCTTAAGGGGTCTAGGGCCCTAACTATGAGGTCCTTGGAGGGATAGGGCTAGGGCAGGGTTGGGCGATTGGAGTCAGATGAGCTTAGGATAGTTCAGGGCTGAGGGCTAGCAGGTTAGTCGAAGATAGTTGGGTGTATAGGGTTGGGAGTCTAGAGTTTAGGGTTTAGCTTTGGGGTTACGGTTAAGGGTTCAAAATTGAGCGTTTTGTTGCCTTGTTTGTTTGCATTGCTTGTTATTGCAGCAACCCAAACGACAAAACTGGTTAACCCCAAAGAGCAAAGGCAATCGAAGCTTTAGGACAAACAGGTCTTAGGGTTTCGCGCGTAGCGGCTCAGTTGTGCTTCAGTCTTTGATGAGAGCCTGTTTAGCAGGGTTAGGCCTTTGGGGATTAGGTTCTTTCAGGGCGTGGAGCTCTATGGTTTAAAAGGCTTTCCCTAAGAGTCCGAAGGACCCAATAATTAAGTAGTCGGTTTTAGGATACTAGTTATGTAGCTTAGCATTTTGGAGAGTATATGACAATTAGGTACTTGGACCCCTAGGGTTTTAAATGCTTCATAGTTTCGTGGTTTACAGCATCCGCGGTGGTTTCGTGGTCCAAACTGAGGACAAAGGGTGTCAAGCGTGAAAAGTAGGTTTAGTGGTGCATGCTGAGAGCTGTAGGATCTAGGCTATGAAGATGCAAACTGATGGTTTTATCGAGTGGGGGGGCTTAAAAGGATAGGAAGCCGCTAGAGGTTAAGATTCTTCAGAGTGCTGTGTTTGCCGATTTAAGGCTTAGTTTGAGAAGTCTTTCTTCTGCCAATCCTGGTGACTGGCTCCGGGCTACCAGTGAGAGTCTAAGGTGGATGTAGGGTTAGTTAGGTGCTGCAAGCGTAAGGTAGCCTGAGACCCAAACCTGCCAACTTGGCGCGCAAAGCTCAAGTCCAACTGTCCTCAGCAAAACCTCGAGGCCTGCAGAAGTAGACGATGACTTTGGGCAGCTTAAACCCGAAACCCTAAAACCCAAAGCCTGAAAACCGTAAAACCCGTAAGCCCCCAAACCCTAAAACCTAAACCATAAACCTTAATCTCTAAACCCCACAAATTTTGCATGAACCATCGCACTGTGTTGTACCAAGATGCAGGGAACCAGGCTCGAATGTCTGCATGCAGGCGGCAGGCCATGGCCCCAGCCGGAGCCCAATTATGTGTGTATATACGTACACCATGTGACTAGGAATGTGTATGTATGCATGTCTATGTATGTATATATATATATATAATGTATATATATATATATATATACATACATCACATGTATGTCGACGCCCTGACATTCCGTACAGACAGTGTTTGCTCAGCAGGAAAAGCTCGTGTTTGTTTTGCCATAGGCAGCTGTTTGAGGTCTTGTTGTCGTCTTCGAGTGAGTACCGGTGGTTGCCTGTGAGGCTTCTTCCATAAATTCAGGGTATGGTGATTTGGTAGTAGATCTTAATACACTTATGGACCACTGAGGGATACCATCTGCAGGATCTAATACTCAGCTGATTTAAGCAAATGTCATGAATCCGCCAAAAGGCTGCAGCCAAGACCCGTTGAAAGGCATGTGCCGGCAAGCATCTCTGGGTGATTGTGACTCGCACAATAAACTTTTCCCACCCCGAAGCCCTAAACCCTCACGCCGAAGACCCAAAACATAACCATCCCCCACCCCTAAACCCCAAGCCCGTAGACTTCAACACCCAGCTCCAACCACAAAAGCTCTTCACCCTGGAACTCTTACACAGCGACATAACTTATGGCTGCTGGTAGGCTTCTTCGTAGGAGTCTGCTCCAACTGAACCATGTGAAGCAGGGTACGCTGATTCAAAAAGCCGTCATATGAGTCATTTCCGGCATATGTTCACAACACTTCCGCGATTCCGTCGGACTCTCTTGGAAGGCACCGAAACAGAAACCAGAAGTCACAATCCCCTCTGGGAGCCAAGAAAAAGGTAATGATACCTAACCCGAAAGTTTGAAACCCGAAACCCTAAACCCGAAAGTTAAAAACCTGAACCCTAACCCGAAAGTTTAAAACCCGAAACCCTAAACCCGAAAGTTTAAAACCCCAAACCCTAACCCGAAAGTTAAAAACCCGAAACCCTAAACCCGAAAGTTTAAAACCCTAAACCCTAACCCGAAAGTTTAAAACCCGAAACCCTAAACCCGAAAGTTTAAAACCCTAAACCCTAACCCGAAAGTTTAAAACCCTAAACCCTAAACCCGAAAGTTTATGTGTTGGTGCTCTGCTGCTCATGATTGGGAGGAGCACTGGTTCTCACATCTCCCTGTTTTGATACCCAGCGGTAGTGCACACCACATCTACTGATCTCGTTCCATTCCAACTCTTACATAGTATAGGGTGTACTTTAGCAGCCTTGATGTACCTAGAAGCGGACTAACATTACTTCTGAACAGTATATTTCTCAAAACTGCCATAACTCAGACCCGTCTATTAGCACCAACGCCTGAAGCCCTACCCTACCGCATGAAACCGACCTCAAATCTTAATGCATGGAATCATATTCCCAACCATAAAGCCCAAAACGCCAACCCTAAGTCGCAACCCGTGCAAGCCCTGAATTCCCGCGGGCGAACTTAGGAAAACCCAAGGGGCAGCTCGCCGACTTGAAGCCAGTCTTCATAGATGTACATGTCGCTCCTCATTCCCGGGGTTCGGGTCTGCAGGGGTTCGGGTCTGCAGGGTGTTAGGGTTTTGATTTGTGTTTAGGGGTTACGGCTTTAGAGGTTTTAAGGTGCAGGGTTTTTTTGGATATTGGGTGCTGTTAAGCTTCAGGGTGTAGGCTTCTATGGCTCTGGCTTCAAAGTGCGTGCTTGGGGAGTTCTTCAGGTATTTGGAGGATGGATCTAATTAGGGTCGCTGTATTGCTCCGGCTTCAAGACTAGGATCTAAACCCTGAACCCTAGCGTTCGGGCTCTAAACCCCCTACCTAAACCCCGAAACCCTAAACCCCGAAACCCTAGACCCTACCGTTCGGGTTTGAGAGCTGAGTTCTTACGGAGACATACCAAAATGGGGTTGGTAATGATTTAAGCCCCCCTGGGCTCTGAACAGATTTAAGAAAGGCCGTATAGTCATAGCAAAGCGGTTAAACCTGTTGGGTTCTCGGTTCAGGGCCTGGGGGCTCCATGATGCAGATTTCAAACGTGTAGTTCGCATATGTAATACCCTAAGGAACCTACCTTTTTAGGGACTTATATAAAGAAATCATATTAGGGGGCCCTAAAAAGGTAGGCCCCTTAGGGTCCAGGTATGTAATACTACTTCGGCCCGGGTGGCACGACGAACCATCGGTGTAAGCGTTTAAACCAGATAACACCAACTCCCAGGATTCCATGCAAGCTGCGTGCACATCAATCTGCTTCTTTTAAGAACAGCAGAATGTTTCTCACGGCAGCTACGAAGGTACATGCAGATGCATCTGGCTTCTGAGAGAGACATACTAGCAGGTGCTACCCTAGAGCCTAAACCCTGAACCTTAGCCTTACACCCTAAAACTCCTAAACCCTAAACCCCTAAACCCTAAACCCTGAACCTTAGCCTTAAACCCTAAAGCCTTACCTTCTGACCCAAACCCGTCTTACGGTGGTGCCCATGCCAGGATACTCCGAGATGATGGCCGACTGAAAGAGGCCGAGATCCTCATAGGGTTGAGGTTGGGTACTGCCCTTCCTGTAAAGGGGTCTATAAGGGTCACTATAAGGGATCTACTAGGGTACTATAATTTAGGGGCTTAAATAAATGCCAATACCATTTTGGGGGTTCCTGATTATGACCCCTTAGGTACTGCCCCCATACAGTAACAGTCCATAATAGGGCTACTATTAAGGGCCTAATATATCTATATTTTGAATATTCTCCAACTGTTACTGAGTGGGGGCAGTACCCAAGGTTGAGGGTTTAAGAGGTTCAGGGGTTCAGGGTTTATGAGGTTCAGGGGCTCAGGGTTCATGATATGTTTGGGGTCCGTAGACCAGGTTTGCCGTCTTGACTGCTGCATCCCTATTCTACAGTCAGGATCCTGGAATCTCGGCAAATATAGGGACGCTTGTGGTCAGAATCGAGATACTCAGGGTTGCAGTACGGCTGCATGCCCCAAACCCTAAACCCTGCCTAACCCCAAAACCCTAAACCCATAGCTGATAATTAGAGGTGCATCATCTGATCAAGATCCCGGAATTTGGGACTCCGAAACTCTAATTGACGGATGCTTTTGGCCAAACGCAAGATGCATTTCTCTCAAAATGAGCTTACTCTCCTTGAAAAGGAAAGCGCATATATATATATATATATATACACACACATACATATACACACATACATATGCACACATACTGATTATGATTATCAAGAATACGGTTATGATGATGACGAAAGTTCTGATTAGGATGATGATGACTACGAATTCTATGTTCATTGTTATATATGTAGTTCTCTAAATGCGGGTCTGTTTCGGGTTCTGGTTATAACGTACTATTTGGGAAGCTAAATAGGGACCCTGCGTTAGAGTACCACCCATGCAAGATATGTATAACATAACATGTGTGTATATGTAGATGTATATGTATGTATGTATATATATATATATATGTATAGGTATGTACCTGTATACATATGTTGTTTAGATGCGTATGTACTCATCGACTTATTGATTTATATCTCCAGCTGTCTATCTAGTTGGGGGGATCCCTGTAAAGGAAACCGGATCCCCCCAATGCCCAACAGTAGTATGCAAAAGCTCCCCAAGAGACTTGAAGTATGTGAGCCCCTCAGCCCTAGCCCGAATTTGAGGGTTTGAGATTAGAGGCCTCAAAAGGTGGGATGAAGATAGGTGGGATAATCCCAAAATAAGAGGCCCTATACAAGGGATCCTTCATCATACCCACCTTCATCCCACCTTTTGAGGCCTCCGAGCGATTTCCCAGTACTTTCTTAAAGCTCCCAAGCGGCAACGCCAGACGTGGAGCCAGTGATCCTGATACTGATACGCTCGAGCGGGTCTTTTAATGGATTTCGGGTTTAGGGATTTAGGGTGTAGAGCTTTAGGGGTTTAGGGTTTAGGGGTTTAGGGTTTAGGGATGTTGGGGGTTTAGGGTGATACGGTTGATGATATAAATCCTGCATTACCCATAATCGGGTATATGGGAATTATGGTATATTCCTTATTATGGGTCATGCAGAATTTTTATCATCAACCGTAGTTCGGTCGCGTCAAGATAGTCAAGGCTCGGGGCTTGAGGTCTGGCCTTTCAACAGCTTTAGGGCTTTAGGGTTTGGGGTCTGTTTTCCTCTGAAGCGCCGAAGCCTGAACCCTCAAAGCTAACAGGCCTGAAACCCTGCAAACCTTAAACCCTAAAGCCCGTGATCTGTGTGGGGGCCGCAAGGGCTTTTCGCACAGGCTCTCTGAGGCCGCTCAGGACAGCGTTTCTGACGGCGAATGAGAGGTTCAGAGGGCTGTCTGATGATGGGAGTGGGGTTTTCAGGCCCGTTTGTGGACTTCGATTTCAGGCCCGTAAGGACAAATATCCCAAACCTCTCAAACCCCTAAACCATGCACCCCACAGCCCCTTTAGACCCCAACCCTAATCCCAAAGCACCAAAAGCCGACCCAGAGGATCCAGGGCTCAAGCGCCCAGGGGCTCAGGTGTTTCGGGGTTTTGGATGGTTTAGTTCTTTACCTGGAACCCAACGGTATGTAGAATAGTAGCCGTTTATAGGTTTCGGGCCATTATTTTACCTACTTTCGGGGGTCTAGGTAGGTGTCTTGCAGGGCAGGGTTTAGGGTTGAAGTTTCAGATTGTTTGGGGGTTCAGATGTTATGAAGCTATGTGGCTGTGGACTCATACAGGAACACATGGGAGCTGGGCGGTCCCCAATATGAGCATCCTTCTTCTCACAACGGTTTAGGGTTTAGGGTTCAGGGTTTAGGGTTTAGGGTTCAGGGTTTAGGGTTCAGGGTTTAGGGTCTAGGGTTTAGGGTTTTCAAGAGGGCATACTTGCATGTATCGATGGTCTCTGGGGACTCGAGCGTGGGCTGAAGCTGCCTTCACAAGTAGAAACCCTAAAGCCTAAACCGCGCCCCCCCCCCCCCCCCCCACCCCATCAAAGAAGCCATGTCTCTGAATCTCCAAGGCCATCCACATCATGTTGATGCATAATAGTACCGCCATCCTCGGATTTCGTGAGCTTCCTAGATGGGGTCCATTGGTGGAGCTTAAGGATTGGAGCTGTACGCATTGTAAGGGTTTTGGCAGCTCATTCCTAATAAGGCTAATAAGGTCCGAGCCTTGTTGAACCGCTGCTTGCTTGCTAGCACCCCATGCTTATCTTCGGCTTGAGGAAACCTACATAGCATGATTTTATTCGCAGCAATGGTAGTAGCCGTGTAGCAGAATCAGAAGTAGGATGAAGCAACCGGGTGAGAAAAGAGGTACCCCAGGAACGAATCAGCGGTCACACGAAGTTCGCTCCATTTCGGACGAAAGCTTTCAGGGTTTAAGCTGCAGGGCCTGCCCTGTTCTAGGAGGAGAGGGTTTGCGAAGGGAGAGCTGGTTCAAATCACTACGACTCCTAAATTGATTGCCAAATCAGCAATTTCCGACACATCAAACTCCCTCATGCTGTTGTGCCAACCCCAAGCCGTACACTCGAAAGCATAAACCCTCAAGCAACAGCAGCAGAATTGTATCAGTATCTCGTCCCAGCAGATTTCTCTAACCAGTCCCAGTGGTGAAAACCCAAAAGCCCAAATCCCTAATCCTACTATTTGCTTAAGAAACCCCCTAAAAATAAAAATAATAATCCCTATATTACCACCATAAGGAATACATTTTGTATTTTTTGGGGGTTCTTAAGCAAATAGTAGAATCCTCCTGACCCCCAAGCTCATCCTGAACCCAAATCTTCATCTGGGTGGCTGTCAAAATTCAGGTCCCTTTTCGGGTACCCTAAATATGAGGTGCCGTATCATAATAAGGATCCCAAAAGGGGCCCTAAGTTTGACAACCACCCATCTAAACCACAATCCCTAAACTCAATCAGCCCATAGCCCGAGGAGGAGCCCGAGGGTTCCTCCTTGGAGGTGATCTAAGGTTAGGGTTTAGGGCTAAGGGTTAAGGGGTTTAGTGTTTAGGGGTTTAGGGGTGCAGGGTTTAGGGGCTTGGATTTCGGGGTTTAGGGGTTGAGGGGTTTAGTGGTTTAGGGTTCAATGAGGGTTCTGCTCTCCCTTCTAGGACTTTAGGGCTCGCTTTGCGGGCTTCTTAAGAGAGGGGTACTGTGAGGGTTATAGCGTCCCTTTGGGGTTGGGAAAATGTAAAGTGACGCCTTGCCGTGTTTGTTGTCGATCCCGGAATGGGCCCCAATTTAGAGAACCAACTTACCGTCTATCCCAAACCAGCAACAGCAAACTCTAAACCGAAGGACTGCTCAAAACCCGCAAACCCTCACCCGGATGCCTCCGAAGCCAAAAGGCAGCAATAGGACTTCAGCGGTTTAGGGGCTTAGATTTTAGGGTTTACGTTTGAGGGTTTAGGGTTTGTAGGGTTTGGGATTTATAGGGCTTAGGGGTTTAGGGTTTTTACTTATCCCAAACCAGCAAACTGTAAACCCGAGCAATGAACCCAAAAGCCGAGGAACAGCATCTCGTAAAAGTTGGACTGCAAGGCAAGGGCGACTTTCTCCATCCGGGTCATCTTCCGATAACCTTGTGCCAACCGGTCACATATTGGGTTTACGGTCCCGCGATAACTTCATACAAATCATCAAATACTTATAGTATAGGGCCGTTACACCCCCCCCCCCCCCCCCCCCCGCCTCGCTCTCCGGAAAAAACAAAACCTGCTGTGCTCTCCTCAAAGAGCCTTACTTACAGTCTCAATTGACTGAGTAAGTCTGTTTTGTGGCATCCTTTATAATTGCCATCTCCATGCAACCTGACTAGGTTCCTCAAATGGATAGGAGAATGAGGAGCAATATGCTTATCTGCGTATCAGACCAACCCTTAATTAAACCTGAGCCCTAAAACCCTAAACCCGCACTTGTAAAAGCCTAAAACCTCCGGGGTCACATGGAAAAGAAACGCCTAAAGACGAGGAAACCGGGAGCCCAAGGTACCAAAGGTTAAATTCGAGACCCTAACGCCCAGAAGCCCTTAACCGACCTACTATAGGGGCCTTAATAATTAGAATAGGGTCTCGGGGCGCACTATACTGTAATTATGAAAAGGAGCCCCAAAATAGTATAGTATAGGTAATTATTAAGGCCCCTATATTACACCAGGGTTTTAGGTTCAGGGGCTTGTTCTTGACCCACGGTAGGATTTAGAGTTTGGGGTTCAGGGGTACCGAAGCCCCAAACCTTAAACCCTAAAACCCCAAACCTAAAGTAGAAGCCAGAAAATTGGAACATCATTCTCCTCATGCCCTTAAGGTAAATTGTAAGGGATCCTAGCGCGAATCCTCCCAAAGCCATGTCCCAATAAACCCTAAAACCCCAAACCTAAACCCTGAAACCCCAAACCCTAAGCCCCTTTACAGAATCCTTATAGATCCCTTTAAGGAACCCCTATACATCCCTGTAAAGAAAACCCCAAAAACCCCAAACCTCAACAGAACCCCAAGTTCGAGATCCTGAGCCCTCAGACCCTACCAGCGATATTCAAGCAACGCTCCATGTACTCGGAAGCCGTCTCCATAAAGAAGGGGTCAGCGCCTGTAAAAACCTAATACAACAAATCAGAACAAGCTGTAATACAACATACTATAATGCAACATAACAGAACATAACATACTATGATACAGCAGAATAGAATATAACATACTATGATACAACATAATAGAATATAACATACTACAATTTGAGGTGTGGGGCCGGTGTGGGCCGGGCTCTATCTTGGAGATTAAGGACTTTGGACGGGAGGTCTCTTAGGGCGCCTCAGGGTTTCTAGTTCATAATGAAAATTCCTACTCCTCATAAATTGGGCTTAAGTACATGTTAAGATTCAATATGTGGACCCACTACAACAAAGAAAATCAAAACGTGCCTTAAATATAACAATTAACTTCAAAAGGTGGCCCAACTATAACAAAGGTTTGGCAGGGTTTACAATGGCTTATGGTTCTAGCGTGTTCGGAACGGGCGGAGGATGCTGATGTTCGGGCTCAAGACCTTTAGTATAGGGGCCTTAATATTTAGAATATGGCCTTGGGGCCAATTCTACTATAGTTGTCACAGGGAAACCCCGAAACTGTATATATATATATATATAATGGGCCATTGGTAATAATTTAGGCCTCTACATTAGGCGTTCTATATGGCTTGTGTATGGTTTAGGGATGGGATCTAGCACCGGGATCTAACTGGCCAGCTGAAAGTGCAAGCAAACACCGGTCATGCCTTGTGACCGCACTTGGAGGTTCTTGGGTAGTGATAAGTAGGGTTATACGTAAGGTAACTATACATATAACCGTTTTTAGGGGGCTTATAACCCCACGTATAACCTGCCTGAAACTTCGAAGATTGTGGCTGAAGCTTTAGGGGTTGTCAAAATCAAGGTCACTTTTTGGGAACCCTAAATATTAGGTGCCGTACTATATTAGGGACCCAAAAGGGGACCATAATTTTGACACTTAGGTGTTCAGAGCTTAAAGGTTTAAGCTGTCAGAGCTCTTGTTCAAGAGTTAAGGTCCGGGGGCTGAGTGTAAACCGAAGGGCATTCATACTGTAGAAGCCTAGATAATTACCAGTACTATTTTATTTGGAGGTGTTCCATAAGAAAATTCTAATGTAATGGGCATCGGGCCTCCCTCCATGAAAGCATGGCTGTTTAGAACACCCTAAATTTGAGCCAAAGATCCCTTACAGGATCCATTAAAGGACCCTAAACCCTAAACCCTGAAGGACCCTAATTGGATCCCTTAAGGAATCCCTTAAGGGAGGCTGTAATGTAGGGGCCTTGATAAGTAGAATAGGGTTCCTTTAGAGGGTCCTTTAAGGGTTACTATAAGGGATGTATATGGGTACCATCATGCAGGTGCCTTCATAATTAGAATAGGGTTTAGGGGTATAATTATGCTTCAGTCATAATGAGGAACTTCCAAAGTAGTATAGCTTATTATTGAGGCCCCTACATCAGATTTCTCTGTGACTTCAGGGCTGTTCTATGACCCGTGGCCGCTGTGGGCAACATGAACTTCCACTGCAAAATCAAACTCAACACCATGACAGTCTCGCCATCATTGCGGTCATAAGTCATAATCAGCATCACCATCATCGTCGTAATAGACCGCATTCTTTTGGGTCGTCCTCATCAGCTTCTATTCCAGTCGTCCTCATCGTCATTTGTCATCACCATCAGCAGCGCTTGGTTGCTAAGATTCAGCATGTTACATCATCAGGACCGTCGTTCTAGACGAGCAGCAAACAAATACATGTTCCGGCGGGGGTCAGAAGCCCAACGCAACTGCAACATTGATCAGCAGCCAGCAGCACATAAACAACAAACAAACAAACAAATTTGTGTTCGTATGTATGCATCTCTGTATACAAAATCTTCATCCTGGGTCCCAGGTCACCTGAGTCGTCCAACCGCAGGCCATCCCTCTCCTTTCGCTCGCTTGAGCTTAGGGCTGGGCAGGGTTGAGGGTGCTCGATCCTCCGCATAGGGATCCGTACAAGGGGATTAGTGTTGTTGGTCTGCTGTTTGCCGGTTTTAGGGTTCGGGCTTTGTTGTTTGCAGCTTCGGGTCTAATCAGGGCACAAGCTGTATACGGGCTTCAAAGGTCAGGGTTCAAAGGGGGTTCTCGGGGTTAGGATTCACGGTCTAGGATGCAGGGGTTGGCAACTTGGTTGAGGGGTAGGGTTCAGGCCTTAGGAAGGTTAGCTGCTGGCGCCCGTGACCCGTTGCCAATGTGATGAAGGAACCACCCGCGAAGCTTCATCAGCTTCGATAGCCCCCTTCACCGTGGTACAACCCGTTTTTCTTACCCTAAGGCTCAAGAAAGCCCAAAAGCCTTTTCTAGTATGGCCTTGGGGCCCAAAAGCCTTAAAATATGAGTCCTTAGAGCCTACGGGTGATACATCAGGGAAAGTCTTTGATGTCTGACACTTATGCTTTTGTAGGGGCTTCTAGATGTTGCAAGCACGTCACGGAATTGAAAACCGTTCCTGGTACATGTACTGGAGACATGTCCACTGCAATGCCGACGCTGCACAAATGTTGTAAAGAGATGTAAAACAAGTACAATACGGGCCTTAATGTCTAGAATGGGGTTATGGGGTATATGATACCGTATAGTTTATAGTGTTAATCAGGAATCCCCAAAACAGTATCGGTATTTATGAAGGCCTCTTCTGGAAACGGACTGAACACAAGCCTCGTATGTGCTGAACCGTGGCCGGCCCGGAACAAACACTGCAAGCTACCCAAAGGCCCCGAAGTAGTTCCTGTTGGGGGTCCATACGTAGAATCCTATAAGGTAATCCCCAAAAGGAACTAGTATGGGGCCTATGGGTATCTTCGTAGTTCTAAGGGACGTGGACAACAAAAAAAACAAAACACATCCACACGACAGACGGCGTCATCAGTCCTTTGAAAGAAGCACTTGGGACTCCTTCCTGTGCAATGTATATAGATCGCAGATTAGCTATGACCCGCTGTAGTCGGATTCCTCTGCTAAGTTGGCGAGGATCAACGTTTATCGATCTACCTTTCCTTAGCGTGTATGTCTGTAGTGGTTACAAGGACCTCATCAATGCCTTGGCGGTAAGGGGTTTACGGCTTTAAATACATTACTACGGGGCCTATATAAGTGCCCATACTATTTTGAGGGTTCCTTATATTAATAAATCTTAGTATAGACTCTCCTGCCCAAGGTGGTATCGAACAACCTGCAACGCAGCGTCCGTAGAATAACCCACTCTCTCAAACAGCACTGAAGCAACACAAAGGTACAGAGACATTACGAACAGAGCGCTGCCAGAGAATCACGGAGAACGTCACCCTAAACCCCTCAACCCTAAACCCTAAACCCTAAACCCTGAACCCTAAACCCTAAACCCTCAACCCCTAAACCCTAAATCAAGATCACCAAACCCTCGACCCGACAATGGAAACCCCGAGTTCCTCAACCCTCTAACAGAAACCCTATAAACCCCTAGTTAACCCTGAATAACCTGCCTTGTTAGCGCTCCTTATTATGATTTCCTTCTATAAGTCCTGAAAAAGTAGGATATTCAAGGTTGAGATAAACTTTAAACTCAAACCCTAAACCATTACCCGGAAGCTCCAACACATTGAGCCTGTCGCCTTGCTTATGGTTTAGGTTTACCGTGCCCAGAGACTCCAATATCCCTGAATTATAAGGAATATACCTGAAATCATATTAGGGATCCTTACTATACTTTACGGAAGATTCCTTAGTTAAGGGATATTGGAGTCTCTGGGTGCGAAGGGGTTTGTGGATATTTGGCGCCAGAAATTCCATGCAGTCGAGTCTCGGAAATGCCGGGCTCTTCCTGCATGGGATTTTCGGAGTCGTGAGTGCAGCTGAAGTTTATGGTTTACACTGTTAGGGTCTATCGGGTAGTAGTAGGCTTCATGGTGTCAGGGCTTCAGTGTTTCCGGTGTCAGGGCATTGGGGACTGTAGGATTCTGGGGCTTAGTCTCGTGGGTTATGAACTTATTGACTTGAGGGAATCAAGAAAGGACCTTCCATCTTTCAACCTTTAGGGTTTATAACGGTTTAGGGTTTAGGGTTCAGGGAACCCTCCGAAAGCCCTTGAATTCCCCAACTCGTCACAAGGCCGGCATGTTGCGGTTGTCGCTTTGGGATGCTTTGGGTAATCCTTTACCCGTCCAAAAGCTCTTCAAATCCCCAAATCGTCAACAACAGCGGTCTGTTACGCTTGTGGGCTGTGGGTTTCGGGTTTATTGAATGCGCTTCAGGGTTTCGGGTTTTTGGCTTATAGTAAAAGCCAGAAAGTTGGAATATGATTATCCTACACCGTTTATGGTAAATTATAAGGTATCCTACCCTGAAACCATATTCCAACTTTCTGGAGTTTCCTTTAAGGCTCAGAGCGGATATATAAGACCTATGCAATCTTGGTAACACTGTGTGAGGCAATTTCCATCAGAAAAACACCACTGCAGAAGACGCCATAAAACTGGAAAGCAGCACGTATACCTCCGATCACACTACCTCCAACAACGTGAAAGCTAAATCCTCTATAAGCTTGGAACCCCATGCCTAAGCACGATACTCCAAAAAGCCGTACTCCTTCCTGCACCTACGAATAAATCCTACTCAATACTCTTCCTTCAAGCCTTGGAGTGATTTGTTTGTACGAAAAGATACCTCTTTCACCTACATTACGGGCCCTGGATTCTGGTGGTTCTGGTGGGCATTGTACATCCCTTCTGTCATGCTAATGGGTATTAATTGAGGCCCCCTACCCCCGCTCCCCAAACCCTCCTAAGGGTCTTTATGGTTATGGGACCTTTACATCAGAAGACGAGCTGCTCCAAAGCCAATACCCGGAACCAACCCCCAAACTCCAAAACCCAACTCGAATGCCCTAACCCTAAACCCGAAGCCTTTATAACCCCCCCCACCCTAAACCCTAAAGCTTAATTTCCTTTAAAACCCCTACTAAACCCAAACCCTATACTTGAACCCTAAACCCTACATACCCGAAGACGTCTATGTGTTCAAAAGGCCTCCCGAATGCAGCACAAGAAGCCCAGGCATCCAAGATTTGCGAGGCGTGGAGCTCCGGCAGATCTTTCTTCTGCTTACCTGGGTTTAAGATTTAAAGGTTTAGGGCGTACTTGAGCTTGCTTCTGCTCACCTGGGACTTCACACGTCTTCATAATTCTAGGAGATTCTAGGACAGTTGAGGGTTTAGGGTTTAAGGCTTCAGCCCAACATGCCCGCCGAGTGGCTCATCACGTCGCACACAGTACTCCTTAGTTGGAGATTAGGAGCAGGGATGTTGAAGAGTGCTTAGGGATTATAGACGGGTTAGGGTTTAGGATTCAGGGTTTAGGGTTTAAGGCGTCTGGCCCGAGTGCAGGTAAAGTGTAGCGTCTCCTGTAGGAGTGGCTGCATTTTCTGCACATAGCAGACCCCAGCTACTCGTAGCGCCTCTTGTCCGCCTGCGATAGGCCCTCAAGTGTTTTGGAGGGAGCGCTCCCTCCTCCGAGTCTCGCTGCTTCGGCCGACACTCGGGTTGTCCCGGCCTGGAGGGCCGTATGGGCAAGGCCAATACCTATTGGCCACTGGTACCGCTTGTCCTTTTTGGCTGCTCATTGCTACTCTGGGGCAACTGTGGCGAAGAAGTGGCACCGGTCCAGGGCGCCAAGCCCTTCTTGGCATCGTCGCCTGAGGAAGGCGCGTTCGAAAGCGCGGCGACAGCTCCGCGCCGGTCGGGTTTTGCAATCAGCGCTTGTGATCCTGCGAAGCCATCACGGAAGCATGGCGCCCAAGGCGGCGTCTGCCACGCAGCCCACCAAAAGCCAGGGTGGCAAACAGAAAGGCCGGGGGGATCAGCAACCCCAGCAAAGCAAGATAGAGTTTGGACTACCTGGTTCGGTCGTCCAAGCTGTACAGTCTATATCTACGAGGGCGACGCAAGATCTCTGGACTGCCGCACCACTTCCCTTTATGGAGGGTACGGCGGAGCAGAATTTACAACGTCGTACCAATATGACAAACAAACTTTCGAAGAGACTTGGCGGCAATTCTCGCGCCAAGTCCGACCTGGCCAGCGCACTACAGCAATGGTTCTTGCAGATCAGCCAGCACACCATCGGCCTTCTCTCGCAGGTTCGCGCTATCGGGCAAAGGCTCGACGAAGATACCGAAGCTGCTGTGCGCGAGATGCGCAATATCCCTGCCGAGCAACCGTCCGAGGCGACCGCATCTCAGGTGGAGTCGGCAGTGGCGGCCTTAGGACCCGTGTGGACCTCTTTCCAAGAACAAGAGGTGATGCAAATGGCAGCCAGGCTTCGTGCATTCAGTACAGTGATGCCTCCTCAGGGTGGTCTGATTTCAACACCAGTCGGAGGGCCATCCTCCGGCCTCACCCTCTTGGACACGGACGTGCTGGGCCCAACTTCCGGAATGGGCCTGGGCTCGGAGGCCAGTTTCGGTGCGCCAGACCGAAATTTTCATGGCGGCCCCTTGCTTGCACCAACAGATTGGCCCCCGGTCGGTGTCGCGGCTCCGGGGCCTCCACTGACTGGGCCCTGCACCGATCAGCCTACCTGTGCACCGTCATCGACACCGGTTGGCGTGCCCGAGCCCAGTCTCGGCAGTGGAAGAGGAGGCCGCTGGCGCAAACGTGCCGGAGGCGCAACGGAACGTCCTTCCAAAAGTCCTCGACGCGAACCGCACGGGACTCCGTGGGCAACCAGCGCCACAGGCCTCACGCCGGAAGGGATTACGAGAGCCCCTCAAACCCTGGTCGCCGAGGAGGACGAAGAGTTTTTGCCATGCGAGCGCAGCGGGAAGATGGTACCGTGGACGCAGGCGTGGTTACATCTACTTCGTTTTGCTGTCGACAACGGGGCCGATCCTGTGGGGGAAGTCAGTGGGTCCTCAGAACAAGATGCGGTACTCCCCTTGCACACCGACAGCAGTGTCGTCAATGCGACAATCGAGGAAGGGGAAAAAGTGTGGTGCAGCATGACACAGGTTCTTGCAGACCCCCAATCAGGCACGCTCTCGCAGCTATACACCGACTTGCTGCATGTGCTTCACAGACTACGGTGTTGTTCAGCGGCTCTCCGCCATGCCCGACAAGGTGTTCTGGTGGCAGCCCACATTACTTCCGGTTCACTTCTCGACCCCTTCAGCTACGCGCCTGCAACGGCCCAGGAATGGCTGTTCCCAAGCATGTTGTTGGAATGGCAAGGCCCTCTCAAAGGCCATATTGCGGCCACAATGGCCGAGGACGTTCATATCAGAGCCGTCCTCTCACAGCCTTCCCCACTCGCGCCACAGGAGTTGCTCCCCGGGGTCAGTACCGAGCGCACTTCTTGAAGCTTCTACTTCAAGGTTTAGCTTTGGGTGTGTACTGTATTATTCCCTGGCTTTTCGCCCTTCGACTTCTCGAGTTTAGGTTGCAACGCAAACATACCGCCTTGAGGTGTGCTGAAGGAAGGCTTTCTTGGTTGCGCTGCCTATGCATGCTGTGGCCGAATAAAGGCGGGACAGGGCACGACTGTCTATCTGCACAGCAGGATCCCAGGCCCCACAGAGGTCCTTTACGTCGCTGGCCACACTTTTGGCGCAGCAGTTGCCGACAACTGCAAGCCATAGGTTTCATTTGGCTGGTATGTACACCTACGCATGCAGTTCAGATCTGGCCTGCGGGGCGTGTTGGTGACAACACCATCTATACAACAGGAACAGTTCCGGACACTAGAGCTGCTAGTGAGTTGGTGCCGGCCCGTGTCGCAGGTACACCCTGCCTGATACCCGCTCTACAGCAGACGCCGGTCGCCTTGAGAGATGTGGCAGTCTTCTCTGAATCGTCAGAACACTGCCCCTTAGTCTTACAGGTTGATGAACGCGTTCAGGGTGCTTTGCTGTTCCGATGGGTTGCCAAGATTTTAGATCTCCAGTGGGAGTTATATCATTTCCGACGCCAAGTTGAGGTCCTTCCGTCAATCCCACCCGAGCAATATGTGCTGTCACCCTGGTCACTCCGGTGGCACTGCATCGTTATTCCGGTTGATCTGCGGCCTATCGGTGGACCGATTGTTCTCACTGAGGTGCACCGCAACCAGCCGTGCGGACATGTCGTGCAACAGGCCGCTCACAAACATGGTCGTCAAGTTCCAGCGGATCTTTTGTGCCGCGTCGGCGGGCACTGGTTTGTTCCTTCTGCGTGCACTCTCCTCCTGCCTTGTGGCGACGCACTACAGGCTTGGTCTTCTCAGCGGATTCCTCGCTCGCCCTTCCCTCAGCGGCCCGGCTCACTATCTCCTCGGTTGTCCCTGGAGAATGTATTTTCTACGAGCCTGTCGTTGCCTACCAGCGATGCTGCAACCTTTCACCACGCAAGTGGTCACAGTGCCGTTGTCATCTCCCAGCATGGCTTGCATTACGCGCATGCACCGAGCTATGTCGATGCTGACACTATCCATGCTATGGTTTGGCACAGCTATGTAGGCCAGGTTGGTAGGCCCGGGGATTTGCATCTTAATTTTGACAGGGTCTTGCCTCCGCTTGCAAACCTGCCTCCTGTGCAGTTCGTTGTGAGCTTATGCCAGCCTGACCGAACTGCGTTTATACTGGACCTTAGGCCTCTAGGGGAAGGCATACTTGTTGATGTTTGCCCTAGACCCGTTACGCCGGCACAATGTCTGTTCTCGGCGTCAGGGCAGCTTGGGGATAGATCGGTTTCGGCCTCGTTACAGCAGGCATTCAGCGCTAATCAGCTCTCCTTCCTTCAGTGTGAACGCCGGGTTGAGTACGATGAGCTCCTAGATCCCGGCGAGCTTATCGTGTTGGTTGTACGACTGCTCTCAGCAATCGAGCAGCCTGAGCAAACATCGGAACGGTCCTCGTCGCGGGCTGCCCTTCCTAGTTGGCAGCTCCTTGGTCTAGGTGGGATACTGGCAATCAGGCCCGCTCGCCGAGTTGCGTGGTTTGGCTTCGTACTCGGCGCTGCTAGCGCCACATTCTTGTCCCCTGAGGTTCCAGTGATCGCACCAGGCATCGAGGTTTTTGAGGCAGCTGAGGCTGACTGCCCGAGGATCCCACCTACAGGGCTGGCGTCTGTTAGCGAGCACAACCGTCTTGCTAGTCGCTTTCAGCTAGCTAGCGATTGGGATTTTCCCGATTGGCGCCGACCTGTTACATCGGAGAATCCTCGATATGCTTTTCAGGTTTTTGCGCCAGGTGGCAGTCTTGGCTTTGTCGCTTCTGGCTCGCAGCCAGCCTCGGATGTCCGACAAGCCTTGCTGGTGGCCAGTGGCAAGTTTGGGCGGCAACCCCCGGTCCCCGTCCAACCGCAATTTCTGATGCGCGAAGTGCAATTTGTCGCTCCCGCCCGGGAGGCCCATCTTGTTACCATTCTTGTCGACAGCGGAACGAGCCTCACTTGCCTGGACGTTCCCAAAGCTAATAGCGGCCCTTGCATTCTCCGTGCGTTGGAGCTCCTGTATCCACCGGACTCCTTCAGGTTGGAATACCATGGACTATCACCTCTCCGACATGGAGATGTTGTGGTTGCCAAGCGAGATGCCAAAGCCGATGCGCCCGATCTTGGTGCGTGGTCACTGGCTCAACGTGCCTCGTTAGGTGCCTATTGGCTTGTGCCTCACGTGGAGGTGTATCTTACTGCGCCTGCACATAAGCTCCAGCTTCTCCGGGTACCGACCGGGTTCACTAAGTCGCAACTGCTCTCCGCGACTCTTGACTGGGTCGGAGTTGAGCCAACAGGACACGATATGATCCGACTCCCGCTCCAATCTCCAGCAGTTGATCTTTTCTGCTGGTTAATGCCTGAGCAGAGCACGGTCGCCGTGATTCTTACAGACGTTTCAGACTGTGGCGGCAGACCTTTGGTGTACACGGTAGCGATGCCAGTTGCTTCTGCCCTATCTCTGCAGACCTTTGCGTTGCCGGGTACACAGCACGCCGCTTTCTGGCACGATGTTCTGCGTCGCCAACCGGTGGTGCTTCGGCACTTTGAACTGCTTCCGACACAGACACGCAATCAGCGCCACTTTCGGTTTTATCATCTTGGGTTAGACTTTTGCCGGGCGTTTAGTCATGGATGGTCTCTCACCCAGGATAGCAGATTCGAGATTTTGGAACTTGCTCAGCTTCAGCCCGAGCATTTTGAGCCGCCCTCGGACTCTGCTCAGGCTGCCGCTTTCCATGATCGGCCACTGCTCTGGCCGCCTACGGCACGTCCTGCTAATTCCGACGCCCTGCTCAAGCGCCGGTTTGCAAGAGGATGTACTCCTGCGATTCTTCCATCTGCTTCCGGGGCCGCCCGGCGCTTGAATTGTCAGCAATTCGGTGTTGTGTGTGCTTTACCCTGTCCCGATGGCTTTCATGTCTGGGCCATCCGCATCGGGGAGTGGGTCAGGGCTGCTTGCACGAGTGAAGTTGATTGGCAGCATGTGCTGACGCTAAGCGGGCTTACTTCCTGGGACATGCCCGATGTTGCGATCCATGGCGAAGAACAGGTTTGGAACTGGCCCACCGAAATTGCTAGTCTGTCAGGTCGTTGTGGTCATCTGCTGCAGGGAGGCAAGGACCCATTTGTCTGTGATGCTGGCCGGGGCCTGCTGCTGCATCTTGGGTCTGCCCCGAATACCACACTTGGAGTGCCGCTCCTGATATTGTTCCCACACTTGTTAGCGCTGGATTTTGCCGATCTTGGTTGCGCCCTCTTGTCCTCCTAGGGCTTCTTTGGCGTACTGGGGCCATGGCCATGCCGATGCACGCCGACGACTCAGGCGACGATTCATGCGAGGAACCGTCTGTGATCCCCCAATACGATGCCACTCCGACCTGCAATCACGCATGGTGCCACGAGCTTGCCTGTCAAACTACACACTGTGGAGTTGACGCGGCCCACCTTCACAGGCATTGCCGTGTGACATCACCTTTTCAGGTGATACGCATTTCCGTGTGGACTCCCTTCTTTGGCCCGCACACATTCGACTTCCCCACCGGGCACTCCCTGGCTGAGTTTAATTTCCTGTTGCATGAAGCAGGCTACCATGCGAATCAATGCACACTGCATGTAGCCTTCGACACTCTGCCGACCTGCCTGGACTTAGTAGCAGTCCCTCGGGGGCCACAGCGGTGGTGGATAGTGCGTGATGGCTTAGCTCGTGAGCTGTTGCGACCTGTGTCGCCATGGGTAGAGTCCGACGGGCGACGTATTCTTACAGTCAACTCCCATGGACAGGCCCAAGGTCTATCGCATTCTGAAGAGGCCGGCCGACTTCACCTGCTCCCAAATGGTGTGCGCGCCACCATTACTGTCCCATTTTCTCGGATCACTGGTAGCCTGGTCTCTGGAAGTCTTGCTCTGGTTGAGCACGCAGTCGGGGCCACTGTTATGGCGTCAATGGCTCCGACCATGACCAAGGGCCTTTTTTTCGTGGTCGTTCACTTTTCCCTTCAGGGAGTGGCTGCTATGCAAAACAACCTTGCGCTTAGGGCAGCTCAGGAACAAAACACATCCGGCTGGCAACACCCTGCTCCGACGGTTGTTCCCTCTATCACTCGCATCTGGACTTCTACGCTAGCGGCACCTACGGTGATTGCGTATAATGCCTGTCCGGACCCGGTGGCCATGGCACGAAGTGTAGCCAATACCGCTAGGGGCCTGGCACCTGAGGGTGACTTTGTCTGGACCACACCCAGAACTGTTCAGGGAGTTGCACACCTTTTGCATGTCCCCTCGGGCTCTGCGCCACCTATGGTTTACTGGCTCCTGCACTATCGTGGGCGTGCAACGGTTCTGGGTTCTCCCAGGGCCGTCTTTGACTGGCAGAGTGTGGGTCAGTTCGCTGCCGAAGAATTTGGCCATGCCTTCTTTGCACAAGGGTTGTTCGCTGCTTGGCACAATGGGCGATCCATCGCATTCGGGTCGCAGGTTCCAGCCCCTGCCCACGGGACCATAGTGACCTTGGTCAGGACTGCACCCACCTCGACTGCGGGTCTCACTGCCTGGGATACCCCCGCTGAGTTTCCGGCGGCTTTTCACTTCGAATATGATATTTGTAGGGGACCGGGCGGTGAGAGCCCGCTCGCCGGTAATGTTTGTTTGCATGTCGGACCCAGCGGACCCATTGACTCTCCTGCCGGGGAGGCACGTTCGATACATGCACAGGGCCCAGGCCGCCCTGCGAGGCCATCCGCTTCTCCCGCTCCTGCCTTGGTGCGCCAGGTGAACGAGGTAAGCCACCAGCTCAATGTCCTGATGGCACGTTTAGAGTCCGCGGGTGTCTTACCTTCGACAGACACTGAAGTTGCACCGGAGGGACCAGTCTTCCAAGGTGCTAACCCTAGACCCCCTAATGCCACAAGTGTGGACAGCGCTAGTCCTCGCAGTAGCCTCACTTGGACATGTGTTGGCGCTATTGTGCTCGCCCATCGGTGGCCAACCTTCTTCGGGGTCGGCCTCCTGCTTTTTGCAGGGAGTGGCAAAGCCTGGGCGACGGATAGCTCGGAAGAAGCGGAGCATCCTCCAAGTTCACCTGATCTTGCAGATGTGGCACCGCCCACTCCTGAGGGAGATCTGATCGGACCGGATAATAATGCAGGGGCACTGCTCCGTCCAAGTGATGACCCTGGTGCGAGTACAGCGGCTCCTGGTGACGGCGTCCTTACCGAGGTATCTGGCTTTGATAGCCGCCTGATACCCTGTCTCCAGCAAAGGACCATTGCGTTTCTTCATGGTGTGGGGGAGGATCATCATGGCCCTCGGCCCTTTCTCCCTGAGGGATGCCCGCTTGTAATACATAACCCATTTACGTGTAGTGCGCAATGCCCGGTGTTATCACCTCTCATCGGCACAGGGTTTGCGTTCCGTCTCTTTCTTCAGGACTATGCAGGGAGGCGAGGATGGCAGCCTATCGTCCCGGTCCTGCCGCAGCCTAATGACCAGGCTGTACATCTCATCCCGGCTGCTGCAGATCCTGCGCTGGTGTCAGTGGTACTTAGGACCCCCAGTGTCCTCCACCCAACATGCTTGCAGCGGGCCCTACCAGTTGGACCCAGCCGCTCAATCACTCTTGCAGGACGCTTTGGCCGTTTGCGTGAACCATATCCACTACAACGGCCCCGCGAGAGGCCTGTCTACCTCCGCGATGGGGACTGTTTACAGCTTGATCAGGGGCCATTTGGACCACCACCCCCAACCCCTGTTCGTTCCTGCAGTTCTCGTCTGCATTTCGGTTTTGGGCTTATGGTTCTCGCCCGAGCTCCCCTGCGGGCTCTCGCGTTGATCGCCTTAGTGAGCACCGCTGGCAGTATGCAGGTTGTGCCTAGCCGCCAAGGTTTATCTTCCCGGGAGGGTCTCCCGGTTCGTCGCTATCCTTGGCGCTATATTGCCAGCGATAGACAGCTCTCTGATGTGAATGTCAACGGACGAGTTCGCTGCACTCTCCTTTGCCCCATGACAGGCCCGCAAGGGGTACATGAGGTCCCGGCGGCTGCTTCGATCGCATCTGTTCTGCAACATTATCAACAAACCAAAGGCTTCTGGATTCGTGATCTGATTCCCGTCTGGCCGAGTCCTCGGTGGGATCAACTTGTCCTTGTACCCGATGTCGACCCTTTTCGACGTTGTGTCTGCATCGTGCTCTGTGAAGGTGGACAGTGCAGAACATTGCTGCTCCCGGAAAGGTGTGAACACCGGGTTTTGTTTAACATGTTGAACTACCTAGCACATCGAGAGTTCCGGGCATTTGGCCTACCACCAGCGCTCAGGGCCGCCGTTACTAGATCGCCTCGTCGAGAGATTGTACTGCGCCCGGCCGATGTGTTTACAGCACGAGGTGTTCGCCAGCCTGTGACGTCCGAAGACCCAGTGGTCTCGCTTCTGCAATGGGATCACCTGCAATGGGCATCCCCTTTCGTCCTCGAGACAGGTTGTCACGCGGCCTTCTGGCATCCAGCCATCAATCGACCGGTGATCCATTGGGTTACAGCCGGTGCCAGGTGGAACCCAGACATGTTAACCTTTGAGGGCGAGTTTGCTGACACGTGCCTCGGATCTTGGGTACCTGTCATGTGGCAGCCGGCCACACATCCGCACTTCATCCAAGCATCCACAAGACCAGGCCGGGTGCACATCCTCCACGAAAGCCGGGACGGTCTTTTCCCGCTCTTCTTCTCCAGCCGTACTTCGCGGGCTGAGGTTGCTGAAGAACTCCACACTCTCCCGGAATACATAGAGGTCCCAGCTGCGACCATTGACGACTACCATGGGCCCTTGACCCTCCGCGACGGTGACGTTGTCCTGGACTTGTACATGTATGATGAACCCCACTTTGCGACATGGGACGTGCTCCACAGCTCTAGTTTTGGGGTTTCCATTCGCTTTCTCATGTGCGGGCTGATGGGCCACGTGACGAGGATTGCCGCTGGCATGTGCTTCCTTCAGGCTGCTGGGGCCACTCGGGGGTCAACCAGTCGATCCAGTCACTCCCGATCGAGATCGGTTTCGCCTGACCGCCTTAGCCCCCGCGCTGGGGCCTGGCGTCCTGAGCATCCTCAGCCCATGTCCGAGGTCCTCAACACAGGCACAGGCCACTGTAATGTGGTTTCTCCGTTCCATGGAGTGGGGCCCCCTTCCCACTTCTATCGGGACACGCTTGGCAGTTCCCTAGATCAGGCACTTAAGGACTTCTGTGGGCGTTGGTGCAGTTTTCACGTCCTTCAGGCACCTTTACTGGAAAGACGTCCTATGATGTTGCTACCCGGAGGTTTGCCAGACCTTGCAACCGTCCTTGTTCTAACGGCGGATCAACTACAGGCAGTTTTGATCCCCCGGCGATTCTCTGCCAGGGAACTCACTTCCCATTTACGAAGAGTTATGCGGTCGGCAGGAACTACGTTGCGTCTGCCCCCTGCTCTTCGTCATCATGAGGCGCTGCCCAGCATGTGCCTGCATCTCCGTGATGGTGACACATGTAGCTGGACCCTGGACTTCGATAATCCACTCCACCGTGAGGCACCCATGCCCCGCTTCCGTTATCTTAGCTGGCTGCCACATCACAATGCATGGCACTCAGGTTTTACGGTTCGCCACGGGGGCTGGGTTTGGGTCTGGATGTCGGAGGTGCATCCCGACCATCAATGCGAAAGGCACTGGGTCCCACCCGGTAGCCAATGGTCGCCAGGCTCGCTGCAGTTCCTCCGGCCCAGATGTGCCCCCTGTTCGGAACGGTGGATTCCCACCACCTATAATGAGGATGGGCAGTGCCACTTTGTACGTCAATCGCTACCTGGAGAGGCTCGCGTTCTCTTGCATCGGCCATATAGTGGGGATCATCCCGATTGTGTCAGTGTAGGGCCGGAGCAAGGGTTGTGTTATGCACCTGAAGGATGGACACTCGCACCTTCTCTACGCCGCCGAGCCGGCAATGCTGCCTTGCGCGACGGGGATGTGCTCATTCCGGTCACCTCTGCGGGTCATAGGCCCAGCCTGGCCCTTGCTGCCGTTCCTCTCATGTTATTGCACGGGCCGCTTAGGTCTCTAGGGTTCCTAGCTTGGATCGGTGGGCTTCCGGTCGCAGCTATGTTGACTACTGATGAGGGTCGGACTGGCTCCCCAACATGTGTAGGTAAGTTCCCTTGGCGGGTTGCCTACGCAGATCGGGCTTTGCATGAAACGGTAAATGATCGACATCGTTGCCGACTGTTGTCCCCGTTCGCTGTTCACAGCAATCAGACCTTCGTTGCTGGACCTGACGACACAGTCGAGGAAGTTCGGCTAGCACTCACGGGAGCTGAACCTGCATGGTCCTTCGATATCATGCCAGTCTGGCCAGCGCCATCACCCTCAGAGCTCACATGGGTGCCGGTAGCTCCCTCTGCTGCGCTGGCATGTGTACTTGTTGTCACTCCGGATTGGCATCTGCCTATGTTGCTGCCACAGCGAGCAGATCTCAACTGGGTCTTAGCGTATCTGCGTAGCGTGTCGCCGGGACCGGTGCACTCGATCCGGGCACCCATCCCCGCACAACATTATGGCACTAGTCCCAACGAGGCTATCCGGTGGCGGGACGGTGATCTCATCTTGGCTTTCCCGACTGATTTCGAGTTCAGTGCGTTGGATATGCCTAGCTTCCGGACGGCTTTTACAGAGTCTACTGCTGCCTTTGTTCGTCACACTGCGCTCTGGGCGCTCGATTTCTATGTGGATCAGCCTTTGAATGTCGTCCTTTGGCGACCTGGGCGCCGCCCCGTTAGTACCAAAATCCCTTCCCCAGTCTTGTGGTGTGCTTCAGAAAAGCAATTTAGGGGTCAGTTTCCCCACCGGTACCCGGGGAGATGGGTCCCACTTGCCTGGGCCTACTCTGATATCCCCCACCTCTGCCTGTGTCCGGAAGCGGAGGAGTTGCGCACCATTATCATTGAAACCTTCCAGCAGGACCGCCTGGTGGGTCAGTGCCATGTGGTCCATGCGTGTGCTGATGCGAATACGTGCCGCATCCTGGTCGACCAGATTGATGCCCCATGTATGTTGCTCGGAGCCACTCGGGACAAGGAGTGGTCCGAGCTCCGTAATGGGGATATTGTGCACTTTCCTTCCGCTGGGTCCAGGCCCGAACCTCGTCTCAGTCACATATTACCTCTCTTTCTATTGCCGAGCACTTTGCACCTTAAACGTCGGTTGGTCATAGTCGGGATCCTCTTCGGGTTTCTCCCCCTTCTCGTACAAGGTACGCGCACTGATTCCACTCCCATCGATACAGGAGCTGGGCTGTCTACAGCTCTGTGCCCCTTTCGTGGACGGGTCAGCACCCACCCCAGCCAGGAAGCCTCTCACCCTATAATGACGCCAGCTGTGTGTGGGAGGCGATATGGGTGCCTGTCCGTCCAGCGCTCAATGACCAGGAGACACATGTCCTCCTGGCCCCAGCGTTGCAAGATTTAGTGACAGTGTTCGTAGTTGGCGCACCTGCACCGCGTGCCCTCATCCTTCCGCGGTCATTATCCTTGCCGACCCTTCTTGAAATCCTGCAGCCCTCCTTCGGTTCGGATGTTCAGGTTGCTGCTAACTCCGCCAGACTAACGCACAGGCATCAGGAGGTCTGCTTTCGCGACGGTGACTGCCTGCGTGTCACAAGGCTGTTGTGGGCGCCGTCACTCGTGCCCACTTTGCGCACCTCTTTCACCCATCCCCGCAATGCGCTGCGGGAGGGCCTGTGGGGTATGGCGCTCACTGTCCCGGGCCCTGGACGCTGCTTGCTTTGGCGTTGTCCTGGTGTTTTGCACCGATCCATCAATTTTGCAGGCACTCAACACTGGGATCCGTACCAAGGACGTCTTCTGCCTTGCATGGGCGATGAGGCTGAGAGCTGGTGGCCGATTTTTGACCATCGTCTCCCGGCACATACCCTCGCCTTTCACCCTGTTGCACAAGCTCAACAGCATGAGCGGCTGGCCCTCACTCTTGACGAGGAATCAGTCACGCTACGGGATGTCTCCTTCGCGCCAAGCTTCCACTCCTGGAGTAAGCGTACTGTTGGGATGCTGTGCCTGCTCCTCTGTCACTCCCTCCAAGGGATCCGGCCTCGTGACCCTTGGCCTCGCAGCATTTTCTGGAGCTCGCTGTTGATTGTACTTTGCTATCTCGCAGCTTGGGGTGCACCAGCCTGGGAACGGGTTAACCCACAGGAATGGGATCTAGATTTGACGGATGTCTGTCAACTACAAGCCGATCTGCATCAAGGGTGGTGGCTGCATGGGCTCGCTGATGAATTGCCCCGCTCTCTTCCTTTGTCATACCACGCGGCTTGGGCCGCCGATCTTCCTTTCGGGGTCGGCCCGCCTGACAGCCTCTTGATTGCCACAGATGGAAGTGGCGCCGGACAGGGGGCATGGGCGTTTGTCGCATGGGGGCACTGCCGTTATGGTTGGCGGCGCTTGGGCTGGGCCGCAGCTTCCTTACCAGGCACCCCTTGGCTGCCCGACGGCTCGAGTCATCCGTTCTTGGCTCAGCGGTCGTATCTGGCTGAGCTTGCTGCCCTGCAGGCAGCCGGCCACTGGTGTGTGGCTATGTGTGATTTGTGGCGACTGCGCACCGGGCGGATGCCCAAGTCGGTTACAGTCGCTGTTGACAACTCTGCTGCTCTGCAAGTCGTCTCAGGACATGGCGCCGCCATGGCGACCCCAGCTAGGTGGGCACGTGCGGTTTGGCAGCCCGTGCAGACCCGCCTCACCACGCATTTTCGACACGTGCACAGTCACCAGGGCACGTATGTTAACACTCTTGTCGATGCTCTAGCCACTTGCGCAAGCGACGGTAGCCTCGATGACTGGTTACGGCTACCGAGTTTTCAGCGTAGCAGTCACCTCACTACGACACTGCTGGAATGGCTCTGGATTATCCCTAATGCTGCTCTCATCCACGGCCGGCCCATTTTCCGGTTCCCGTTAGGGGAGGCACAATGGGTCCCACCTGTGGCTCCTTCCGGTACCGACGGAGTGGAACCAGATACGGAGGCGCACCCTGTGACAAGCAGTTTCCAGGTGATCACAGCCAATATTCAGTCAATTAAAGACGTCTGCCCCAACCCCTTCAACCCGTCCGGCCACGGTGCCCGAAGGCAGTACTTATATAAGCAGTTAGGGGATATAACAGCGGACGTCGTGTGCCTTCAAGAGACCAGGGCTCCTCCAGGACGTTGGGCTACTGGCGGTTGGTTAACTTGGCGCTCTGGCAGTTTAAAGGGTCAGTATGGTTGTGAAATCTGGTTGCGACCTTCCCAAGTACAGCCACCTCTCACACTTGACGCTTGTCGGATTCTGGCAGCGTCGCCCAGGTACATCGTAATTACGTGTACCGATCCAAGGTGTCCACTCACCATTTGCTCCGCACATGCACCGCATGCGGACCGTCCGCACACCGAAGCACAGCAATTCTGGGCGGAGCTACGAGGGGTTCTGCAACGGGTGCCGCCATCAAGAGCTCTTGTTGTTGGCATCGATGCCAATGCTGACTTCTGTGCTCAAGACCCCTCTGAATGCCTTATCGGGCCTCTGTTAGCACAACACGAGCCTACGTCCAATGATGAGTTCTTGTACGAGTTTGCCACCTCTCTTGCGCTTGAGGCGCCCGGCACTCATCCCGACATTCAAGTCGGGCCTGGTTGGTCTTGGATGCACACTGGTGGCCGTCAGAAACGCCTAGACCACCTGCTGTTTAGTTCAGGATCTTGGACACATAAGCAAGCCTGTCAGGCATGGGATTTTGACATTGTCAATACCCAACGCGACCATGTTGCCCTTCGGGTACATACTGAGGTCTCCGTGCGCGCACATCAGCCGCACCGCCCCCCCCAACGACGCTGTACCGGCAAGGAGCTTTTGGATGGCGGTCAGCAGATTTGGAGTTCCCTGCCGGACGACCTTACTTCTGGCCGTGCATGCGGAACAATCGTCCACTCACTGCAGCAGCAGTACCAGGGATGGGTTGATCTCCTTCCTCGCAAAATGCCCGTACAGCCTAAGCAACCCTACATTCAGGAGGCCACGCTTCAATGGCTGACTCAACTACGCGACTGGCGCTGCCAACTGCGGCATGCGCGCGAGTCCCTTAAAGCGGCAGCCAGAGCCCTCGTCCTTGCAAGGTGGCACCGACGTCTGCGCCCCTTGCGCGCGAGCCGTCGTGTCGCGCACCATAATCAGCGCATGTTCGTAGCTGCATTGACCGAGCAAGAGAGCCAACTCCAGCAGCAGGCGCACGCTTTTGCACGTCATGACAAGCAGCAGCACTTCCTCAGCCTGACTGGCTCAGCCGCTGAGCACTGGCACCAGCACGGGCGCCCTATGGAGGCCATTGTGAAGCTTCGCTGGGCTTCTCGCAGAGCTGCGGAGCGGCGACAGGTCTATGCGGCTGGAGGATTTGCCATTGAACTTGAATTAGAGGAGCAGTTTAGGGCACAGGAGGCTGCCATTCGCACACCTCGTGAACAGCTTCCAACGGTAGTGCAAACGTGGCTTGAGACGCCGGCCCCAGCCTGTGCAACTGCCCTACCATCCCTTCTCGACATGGAAGTCGCGTGCCGCCGACAAGCAATTAACAAAGCACCGGGCCCAGATGGGATACGCAACGAGCTCTGGAAAGGTCACCCGGTCCAAGCAGGGCGATGGCTCTGGGCCATTACTTCTCGCATTGCGCTAAGCGGCCGAGAGCCCTTCCAATTCAAAGCTGCAGTCTACTGTGCGCTTTATAAAAAGGGTCCTGCGGCGCTACCCCAGAACTACCGCGCCATCGCACTGATGAATGGTGTGGCCAAGATCTGGCATGGGCACCTCCGACAGTCTATCGGGCGCAGGGTTTTGCACGGATACGATAGGACCCAGCTTGGCGGGAAACCGGGTATCCCAGTTAGCTTCGCAGTTGCTGCTTATCGGTCGGCCATCGACCTGTGTGTCCAAGCAAATCACAGTACTGCCACATTGTTCATTGATGTTCAAGCCGCTTACTATGAAGTGAGCAGGCGGCTTATCTTTGAAGGAGATGATCTCTCACAGGGCGATGCTATTGCACGCTCTGATGCATGGCATCTTGCAGCACTTACAGAACAGCTCGCCAATTCGGGGGCCCTCGAACTTCTTGGCGTGCCGCAGGAGGAACGGGCCCTGCTTCAAGATTGCGTCGCGTGCTCCCATTGGCATTTGGCGGGTTCGGATAGGGTGTTTGTTGCCTCCCGCGGGTCGCGGCCCGGGGATGGCCTGGCAGATATTCTCTTCGGTGCTCTTTTTGCCATCGCACTGCGCCATATCCGGAGAGCCTGTCAGGAAGCGGGGATAGCACTGCAGGCGGCAGGTGACTTCATCGGTCTTCATGGCGATGTACTCCCACTGGGCTGGGCGGATGATCTCGCTATGCTTGCTGATTTTCCTACACCCCAGGTGTTGTTGGATCAACTGCCGACTTTTGCTGGCATTGTCCTGTCTACCCTGGAACTGCTTCGCTTTCGTATCAACCTCGGCCCCAGCAAAACTGAGCTCCTCCTCGATATTCGGGGTCCTGATGCAAAGCGAGTCCGAGGAGAGCTCATGGCCCCCCCAGCAATCCTTTCTCTGGCCAGTGGACACTGCATCCGGATCTCTCCTGAGTATAGATACTTAGGGGTTATCACGTCGCCCAGGGACACTGGCAGACGCGATACTGAACTCAGTGCGCAAAGGGCTCATGCAGCGCTATCCCATGCGAAGGGACTTATGGTCTGCAGCACTCTTCCGTGGCGACTAAAGCAAGCGTGGGTCGCAGGGCGTGTGCTCCCGGCGGCATACGCTACCCTTTGCACTTCTCTCGCCACATCGGGCCGAGCGACAGCGCCACTGCAAGGCTTCTTTGAGCGTGTGTCACGCCAGATGTCCGACTCCTGGCAGCACGGCCACATACTGTCCCGTCCCGTGCTTGTCTTACTGCTCGGCCTTTCTACACCGGAAGATGCGTGCTGCATAGCGCGTGCACGGTTGGTGCTCCAGCTGCTAAATCGCGATGCCGGCCACGTCTTCGAGTTGGTCGATGCGGCCTGGAACCGCGCCACTCCCTGGGCACAACTCCTCGTTGAGGCATGTCAGGAAGTGAGTCGCGCCCTCCCGACTTCGTGTCCCCTCGCTGAGGTGACTTTACAATTCCTACGCACTAGGAATAGTCAGATGTTGCGAGCCTGCCGACACCTCAGTCGCTTCGGCTCTGCTTACCGTGCTCTCACCGCCTTATGGTCCGAGATTGCGGAACCGAAGGTTATTAAGGTTATCGGGCCGCGAGAACCACACCGCTGTCATCTCTGCGGCGCCTCTCTGCCCAGCAAGCATGCTCTTGCCGCCCATGTGCATCGCAAGCACTCCGTTGTAAACTGGCTCACTCAGTTCACCCACGGGACTGTGTGTCTTTGGTGCAATGTGCAACAGCATTCGACGGATCGCATCAAATACCACTTGGGGCGCTCCCCGATGTGCATGCACGGGTTACGCGTGGTTGTCGGACACGCCTATGTGTATGGCTCTGGCACCAAACGCAAGGGACAACGAGGTCATCGTGGACTCCCACCCATACGACTGCCTGGGCCGATTAACGCGACACCGGCTCAACGCCGAGCCGCAGAGGAGGGGCGTATTTGCACGGAGGATGAACTCCGACAAGAACGCCTTCGTGTGCTGGGTGTGGGCGACGTGTATCAATGGCCCCACGAACCCTCTGATGCTGCTGCCTCCGGGGATGGAACCGTTGGAACTACGGCGAGCGACCTCCCGCAGCTGCCCGTCTCACATCCAGGCTTTCCTGACACGGAGGGGGAGCCGCATGGTCTGCATGGCAGGGATTCCTCACCGGAGGCTTTCACCCACTTACTTGTTGAAACCGACACTCCCGGCGAGTCGGGGGACACTGCTCGGAGCGACACCCTGCCGCCCCTTGTGTCGCCACTCTGGCACGCTCTTCTTCACCGCCGAGGCTATTGGTGTTTGCCCAGAACCTGGCACCGTATGTGGGGTCTGTGGTGGACTCTTCAAAGCTTGCACCCATGGACGCATGCTGCTAAGCGTGGGTTTCGGCTCCTACGCACAGCTCTCGAGTCTCGTGAGCCTGGGCCATCTCGCGGCCCGCCGCCAGCGGTCACTACGCTTCTTGCAGCTACAGTAACATTTCGGATGATTAGCGCCCATGTACAGCGGGGGGCGGCCATGTATATTCATGGTACGCCTAGCTCCGTCGGGATCGCGCTCTGGCGCCGACTGATGCCAGGGGCTGTTACCAGGACAGTTGTTTCCAGCCGTGGCCCAGTGTTTTGCGCTTGCCATCCCTCTTGTGTTGATTTAGTGGTTCGACGTTTGAGTTCCTCTGGCATGCCTGAGGCATGGTCAGTTGACGAGCTCCGTCTCCGACCTTCGATGGTTTTCCGCTCTTCGGCTTCGGCCCTTCTGTCCAGTGAGTTGTAGCTTGCTCGCTCGCTCCTCCTGGACTTGATTTTCTCGTGTTTTAGTTGGTTTTGTTCTCGTTGTCTCCCTGTGCGTGCTATAGCAGCACTGCATTTTTGGGGTCTTTGCACGTTAGACGCTCCGGACTGTCCGCAATGCGAGTGAGTGAGTGAGTTTAGGGTTTAGGGTTTAGATTCTAGGGCTTTGCCAGCTAAGGCTTCCAACTTTACGCTTTAAGGCACTCTTTGGCTGGCTTCTACATGGGTCGTTGTCAAGATTATGGCCCCTTGTTGGGTACCCCCAAATATTCGATGCCGTATTACACTAAGGACCCAAAAAAGGGGACCACAATTTTGACAACCACCCACATATGCAAAGGCTGCGAAATTTGTATGACTGACTCAGCCCTCAACCTGCAGCCAAAGGTATACAAATCGAGAAGCACATGGGCGACTGTCTCAGAATTTAGGATGTCACTGGGTGCTTGAACAAGGGTCCGGATAGACAGCTGGGATTCAGCCAACAACGCCGACATTCAAAAGAAGACAGCCGACTGCCAGTCTCGTACGTAAGGGTTCTGCAAGGGCTGCTATCCGGGGCATAATCATAGCTACTACAAGGGCTTTTTAGACAGGGGTTACTCCTGAACCCGAGGCAGCAAGCGATACTGTTGCTCAGAGTGACAGTTGAAAGATCGTAGAATTGTGCATACATCCCGACACGGTGATGGAGCACCACGACGACCGCAGCGGCCATGACGACTAATGTGGGGGTCGGTTTAGGAATATAGGCCTCTTTGATGCGTCGGCTCGGGGGCTAATTCCGAATCTGACCAAAAATTTGGGGGTTCTAATTAATGCGTTTTTTTTTTTTGGCTGGGGTGATTTTTTGGTGGCGGGGCTGTGCTATTTGCTGATGGTCAATCTTAAGGCAGCCACGACCTAAACCCCCACCCAAACCCCCACCCAACCCTAAAACCCTGGCCCTGAAGCCCGAAAATCTCTTGCAGAAATGTTTCGCTTATTGGGGCGTCAGGAATGAGACTCTGTACTACTACTGTACTATTGTACTGCTACTGTGTGCCTTGCTTATTGGGGGGGCTGCTAGGGTGAACCGCCGAATTGGGAATTGGACCCTTGCTCGACAAAGGCCTCTCCAGTACTAAAGTTTGTATAAAAAAATTCAATTTTGGGTCTAATCTGGACCGACCCCCCTTTGGGAAGGGTTTAGGGCTTAGGGTTTAGGGTTTTTAGAGGGTAGGAGTTTAGGATTCGTTAGGGTTTAGGGTTTGTTAGGGTTTGTTAGGGTTTAGGGTTCAGGGTTTAGGGTTTAGGGTTTCAGGCGCTGGCTTTATGCTTTGCTTATTTGGGGAATGTGCTCACTGGCTTTATTTTCTGCACTATTACTGTATTACTACTGTACTACTGTTGTACTACTACTGTACTACTAGTATACTACTGTACTACTATTGTACTACTACTGTACTATTACTGTACTACTACTGAACTACTGTACTATTATCGTACTACTACTGTACTACTATCGTACTACCACTGTTCTACTGTTGTATTACTATTGTACTACTGCACAATTATTGTACCACTACTGTACTACTATTGTACTACGGTACTATAATCGTACTACTACTGTACTACTACTGTACTACTATTGTGCTACTATTGTACTACTGTACTATTATTGTACTACTACTGTACTACTACTGTACTACTATTGTACTACGGTACTATTATCGTACTACTACTGTACTACTACTGTACTACTATTGTGCTACTATTGTACTACTGTACTATAATTGTACTACTGTTGTATTACTATTGTACTGCTGCACTATTATTGTACTACTATTGTACTACTACTGTACTATTTCTACTGTACTACTATTGTACTACTGTACTATTATTGTACCGCACCAAGCTTCAGACGTGGTCGATTGTGGGTGGGAGTGTGGGAGTGTAGATTACGGAGGCAAAAGTGTTCAAAATGAAGGGTTTTTAGTCTTGGTAGTAATCTTGGAGTGATCGGGGCTTGGTTTCCAGCATTTGGTGATCCCCAGACCCCCGACACCCGACCGCGCATTCGCGCAGAACCGCAGACCCTGCACCCATTCCAGCCCCCAAACCCCGGCACCTCCCAATTCCCTGCCACTCAGACCCCTGACCCCTGTCCGGTGTTACCGGCTCCAGACAAAAGTGTTTTTTTTTTTTTTGTCGGGGGGGGGGGCCTCCATTAAAGCGACACCCACATTACCACGACCAGGACAACCACCACCGCCACGACAACCAGGACACCACGACGACCACTACGACCGGCACTACCACCAGGAGACCACAAGGAGACAAGCAGAAGACAACCGCAGGACACGAGACCACCAACCCTAAATTTTAGACGGCTTGCGCCGCAGATGCGCCAGCGCAGGTTGTGGTTTGAAGAGCGGGATTCAAAGAAAGCAAGGGACAACCATAATTCCGTTTAAGTAAATTGGCGGTTTGAGTAAATTAAGGCCCAATTTGGTGGTTGAGAAAAGAACAAAAATCCTAGCGTGGGTAGGGCAAATGGCCAAGGCCAAGGCGAAGGTGAAACGGGCCTGGAGAAGGTCAACACAATTTGTGGGCTTGGAGAGGGCCTGGAAAAGGCCAAAAACCTAGTTTGGGGCTTGGAGAGGGCCTGGAAAAGGCCAAAAACCCAGTTTCAGTTTAAACCCTAAACCGTGGAGACCACCAACAAAAAGCTCAACGGCAGACCCGGAGACCATCGGATCAGGAGACCTTTGGCCCCGTGTGCCTCACTGTTTGGCGCCTTTGGGGATGAGCCTTCTTTGAGTAGTAATTAATTAGTTCGGAATGTTAAGACCTAAACCCGGCTTCATTCTATTACTTTAGTTCCCCCAAGCAATGGATCCTACACCCGGATCGAAATCCCAAACCCAACTTCGTGGTCCACTTGTAGTACCGTTATGGTACCTTGTATTGATAAAAAGGACCCTGCCAAATCCATGAGCCGTTCAGTACAAATTTTCATCCGAACACGGTAGGTTTGGGATCCCCAGGTGTAGTAACCTCACGTTACCCTTACAGTAACCTTATGGTACCCTCGCAGGCCCCAGACTCTAAACATTGTGTAGGCCCCAAACCCTAAACCCTAAAACTTTAAAAACTAAACCCTAAAACCCTAAGCCCCAATTAAACCCCTAAGCCCTAAAGCCTGAACCCCAAACCCTAAAAGCCCTGAAACCTGTGAAGCTGAAGCTCTTCATCTTCAGCAGATTCGGAGCGTTGGCCGGGACTGGCACGCGACAGATGATGGAACAGGCTTTAGGTTTCTATACTGAACTTAGAACCCCTAGCAAAAAAAAAATTAGCTGTTTCTTAGGGATTATAATAACCAAAAAATATTACAAAAAAAAACCCTAAGGTTTAGGGGTTTCGGGGCTTAGGGTTTCGGGCCGTTGGGGTTTAGGGTTTAGGGGTTGAGGTGTAGTGTTTCCTTCAAGGGTTCCTTGACAGGGCTCCTCGAATCGCTACTTTACGCGAATCACTTCATCATATGGTACCAAGTGTGTTCACCTTTTTTGCAGGAATTGTTTGTGTATAGACGTCTATGTCTGGACATGAGATTTGGGGGGAATGGTGTTTTCGGAGCTTCACAGCATCCACCAACAGCAATGCAGGGGTCTGGTGGAATGGAGTTTTGGGCGATACGTCTAGCAGAGGATAGCTTCATCCACGTATACCCTACCTAAACCCCATACTTGGAGGGTCGGGGGACTTAGTAACTGGTTATTTTAGGGACTTATAAGTACCATAACCCCAATTAGGGTCCCTTTTAGGGTACTTATAAGTCTACTTGCTACCTACTTACTAAGTCCCCCGACCCTCTAAGTATAACCTCTGTAAGGACTTCTATAAGGAAACCATAATAGGGAACCCTAACAAAGGTAGGTTCTCCAGGGCCTAGGTAAACCCTAAGCCCCAAAGGCTGCAGCTATCCCGGGGAACTCTCTATCCGGCTGCCCCACCCATGCCGAAGCCACCCCCTACTTCGAGGTTCATGGGACTTACAGTGAAAATACTGTATAAGAACCCACTGTTTAAGAACCTGAGCCCCTACCCAAGGCGGAATTCACTAGATTCAAGTTGCCTCAATATTAAGAACCTTAGGGTACCCTAGTTTTCGGGTTACTACGGTTATAATTAAGGTAACTATACTTAAAACTAGTTATACCCCCCAACTAAGGTACTTATAACTGTAGTTACTACCCATAGGCCCCAAAGTAGTTCCTTTTTTGGGATTACCTTATAGGATTCTATATACGATCCCCAAAAAGGAACTACTTTGGGGCCTTAGGGTAAGTCCCATGAACCTCCAAGTAGGCCGCAGACCCAAGAGCCGGCAACAGTGCGCCGGGCGTTCTTTCTTTCCCTTAGGCTCTAAGGACTCGTAGTTTAAGGCTTTTGGGCCCAAAGACCATACTATGTAAGGCGTTTGGGCTATTTTGAGCCTTAGGGTTTGTGAAGTGGAGTTTAGGGATTGGGGCTCAGGGCTAAGCGGCGAATTCATCGCTCAGGTGGCTCAAAATCCACCAGCGCAAGGCCTTCTCAGAAGCTTTCGGGGCCCCTGCCCTCAATTTTAGAACCTATACACCGTACCGTACCTATTCGCACTACGCCCCGCGCTCCCCTAAAGCCAGGATGCCGAACCCTGAAACTCAAACCTCTACACTCTACACCCAAACCAGAAACAGCAAGCCCGACAACCGTGTTACGGGGGCTCGGAGTAATGTACACTGAGTTACTACTGTTCCCTGTAGACTCCATATGAAGTACTATACCATAATGTGCCCCCCCAACCCCGCTGAACATGATCAGGGCTCCCCCAAAACCCAACATAACTGCGTCAACAATCACCTACGGTGAACCTCAGACAGTTGGAACATGATTTTAAGATGATTAGTGCTGGGGCTCCCTAAACTTCACCTTAAGGCATGGGGACAATCATAGTGA